AAGAAAAATTTATCAGTTTTTCAAAACACAGCATTCTATTGAGATCCCAGGCCATATTTTTTTATTTTTTTAATTTTAATTTTATTGAAAAACAAATAGGAATGAGACAGTTTCAAAGCTGATTAATAGGACAGTTTCAATAATCAATACATTGTACATTTTTACCTTCTTAGTGGTTACCCACAGTACAAGAAGCAGACAGGATATCCTGTCCAAACACTATTAGTACACCTCTTTCTTCTCATTGAATTAAGTGAAAGTAGCTGTATATCTATCCTGCACTATTTTGTATATATAAATACAAAATGATCTTTCCTTTGTATCCCCCTTTTTTTTTAGTCCTGTCAGAGGTAGATATTCTATTGGCATCTAAATACCATAGGTGTCTGAATTTAGCTAAACAATCCAACACTGTCTAGCAGTCTATAATACTAGTGGGTTATCCTCAGAAGTTACTGACTTGAGCTTTTTACAGCTCATCGTATCCAGGCCATATTTTAAAAAGACATTACCTGCCGTAGCAGCTTTTGTAGTGTTGTAATGTTCTCCAAAGACAAACAAAAGGCATCTTCATCCTCACACACCACATCTCTTTCAAAGCTTGTGTCTGGGGTGTGATCCAATTCTTCCATACATAGTATGATCTGTCTCTTCAAGCTGAGAAACTCCTCACGCCTAGATGCCTATTAAAAACAAAATTATTACAAGATACCTAAAGGAAGGCCAAATGGACTCTGAAGCAGCACAAATGAAGCAACAAACCTTTTTTTCCCTTAGAGTTGCCAAGTGTTGTCTGAACTGGTTTAAATCATCTAAGCTGGGAACACAGGTGCTGTCAATGTCATATTGAGGCATACAAAGAACTTCACAGAGTTCTCGATCTTGTTCTTGCAGCAGCTTCAGTTCCTGTTTTCTCTCCTTTTTCTGTTTGCGCATTAATTCCACCTGAGTACGCAGATCTTTTTCTAGTTGTAGGACAGTTGTTTCTCCTTCTTCCTGTGTAAGGTAACATACCACTCTTACAAAGTTCCAAAGGATTCCTTCAGAGGATAAAGGAATATGACAGGGACCTAGGCTGACAGATTTTCAGTTAACTTTTTTTCAGTTTATAAGTCAGTCAACTACTGGCCAACAGAGTATGGTTCCCAATAGGAAAAAGTGAATAATACCAGGGTACTTTTTTCTAACTTTTTAAAAAATTTAGGTAAGAGGGCCAGAGAGAGCTCAGTAGAATAAGCACTTGCCTGGCAAGCGCAGGGTCCTAAGGTCAATACCCAGTACCGCAAAAGAAAAAAAATAAATTGAGGTAAGATGACATGACGAACTTTATCGTCTTAGTTGTTTTAAGTATATAGTTCAGTGGTGTTTAAGTACAGGTGGTCCCCAACTTAACAATGGCTCAACTTACTGATTTTTGGCTTTACAATGATATAAAAGCAATAAGCATTCAATGGAATCTGTATTTCAAATGCCCATACTAATGCTGTTTCCCAATAGAAGGAAAGCAAAGCCTATGTTAGGACAATGAGTAGGTTATGTGTATTACATACATTTTTGTGTACTTAAAATGGGTTCACTGCTGGGCATGGTGACACATGCCTGTAATCCCAACATTAGGGAGGCTGAGGCAGGAGGACTGTTATGAGTTTGAGACCAGCCCAGTATAAAAGGGAGTTCAAGGCCAGCCTGAACTGCATAGTGAAAGTTTTCCTGGGATCTAACCCAGTAAATTGAGGAACATCTACAACTAATATTGTACAAGCATCACCAGCCTTCTCCAGAACTCATTTCATCTTATAAGATAAACTCTGTTAACATAGGAAAAGTCCCAATTGTTCCCTACTTCTAGCCATTCTATTTTTTGGCTCTTTAAATTTGACTAGCCAGGTGTGGTGATGCATGCCTATAAAACCAGCACCTGGGAGCAAGAGCATAAGGCAAGATGTTGTCATGAGTTCCAGACCAACTTGAACTGCATAGTGAGACCCTATCTAAAAAAAAAAATAATTTCTTTTAAATTTGACTATTCATGGTAGAGCACTATTAACTTGCACTGCACCGCAATCCCTCAGGTACCTATGAATAATCCTGGCCTGCTCGGAATTGGACTGTTTCCTTTCTCTCTTTAGTTATTTTTGGTCCTTTCTCGAGTCAGGGTCTTGCTATGCAGTTTAGGCTAGTCCTGAGCTTACTTTGCAGCCCAGACTGATCTTGAAGTCACAATGATCCTCCTTCCTCAGCCTTCCCAGTGCTGGGATGACAAGTGTGCAACACCACACACAGCTCTGGACTGTGTCTTCATGATACTCATCTTGTGAAACATGTCTTATAAAACAGCTGTTTTAGGTGCTTTAAGGCATGTAGCTCCTGGTATAACAGTTGGGTTTGGGGAAACTTTGCCTTGTATCAGTAGGTACTTTTTGCTTCCTACAGATCCATTTTTCATTTTCTTTCAGAGAAACATCAGTGGCATCTGTGCCTAACTTCCTAAGAGTTTTCTTTTTTCTTTTTAAATTAATAATGGGGCTGGCAAGACAGCCCAGTGGTCCAAAGTACCTGCTTAGGCAAGCTTAGGCAGGTGCAAGGGATCATGGTTCCATCTCTGGCACAAGATGTGCCAGCCCTGCCTTCCGGGTGGGCTGAGCTGGCCAAAAAAAAAAAAAAAAAAAAAAAAGTTAATAATGCCAGACAAAACTTGGTTTCATTTACCTGTTTGCTGCTTTACTCCCCAAAAGGGCACTTGCTATGTACATGAAAATTATTTTGTCAGACTTAAGTAGATGTTCCCCCATTTCTCATGTCTAACATCCCCTACCTGGAAGCCTTCCATGTGTAACCTCAAGCCAATGCTTCCTCCTAATTCTCAGACATGAGCCAGACCCCCCAGGTCTACACTGCCCACCTGAAATGGTTCGATGTGTAACTCACTGCACAAGGCATTCAGCTCCTCTTGGCAGATCGATATGCTTTTGATAAGCCTTTCCTTCAGGCTCTCCTCTTCAGCAATCATCATATTCAGGAGATTCTACAGGACAGAAAACAGTTTTGGACCACTGAGGGAAAAAAAAGCAACTCTCATTCTGCTTTCTGTGCCTTTGAATCTGACTACTCTAGGTACTAGGGCACTACTGTGTGATGTGTAAATGGTTGGAAAGCTTGTCCTGAGTTAGGTATAGGGTGGTATGTGTAGCTTATATAAAAACAACATCCTAAAATGAGTGTGATGGCACATGCCTGTCATCCCAACACTCAGGAAGCTGAGGAGGACTGTCATGTGTTCAAGGCCAGCCTGTATCACACAGTTGAATTTAAGGCCAGCCTCAACTACATAGCCAGATTCTGTCTCAACCTCCTTGCAAAAAAACCAAACATGAGTAACCCTAAGAATATCACCTTACCAATCAAAGTCAATTTAGTAATGCATGATCTACTTTTAACTGATCAATGGGAGTCGTAGCTACATATCCCATAAATGTATACAACTTCATTGAACATTAACAAAATAACATCAACATTAATTCACACTTTCAAGAAAGAAACAAAAACAAGAGCATATGATGTCCTTGTGTGGGTGATCAATGTCACTTCAGCCTACTGTCTCAACAAAGACACAACACTGCTACCCTACCCCACAGCAGGGGCCAGAACTGCTCAACTCACCTCGATGTGCTTCCTTACAACCTGGGTTCTCTGTAAGCGTTGGTCCTCTGGAATCCCGATTGATTCCCATATTTCCCGAAGGTGATTTAGAGCTTTCTGGAGACATACTATGGACTCCTCTGCCAGCACCTCACTAAACAGCAAAAAGTATTTGCTTGTTACATCAACTACTGCTTCACAACAATATGCAATACAGTATTTTTAGGAACTCAGTAGCTTTATGGCTTAAAAAATCGAAAACAAACATTAAGCTTTATGTACCTTAACCACTCACCTTCCCTTTCTTTCCAAATGCCAGATTGGCAAAGCAAAATTCAGTGTCACATTTCATTAGGGAAATGCCTTCTACGTATAACACTCAGCATCTGGACCTTTCCAATAATTCTACCAATGGCAGTATAATACAGAATTAAAATGCTTTTGCTAAAGATAAAACAGACAAAATATCAGTAAAATAACTCCCAAAATAAGAGTTTGCAATGAGGCTGGGCATGGTGACATTAGCCTGTAGTCCCAGCACTTGGAAGGCTGAAGCAGGAGGATTCCAAGTTCAAGACCAGCCTGAACTACATAGTGAGACAGTCTCACAAAAAAAAAAAAAAAAGTGATATAAACTGGACATGGTTGGGCTGGGGAAAAAGCTCAATGGCATAAACGCCTGCCTGGCAAGCACAAGGTCCTGATTTCAACCCCTGGTACCAAATAAACAAACTATGATAAATCCCAGCTACTTGGGGGCTTACTCAGGAAGATTGCATATTCAAGGACAGTTTGGGTAACTCAGCAAGACCTTGTCTCAAAAATTTAAAATAACATAAAATGGTTTGTGGACATTGCTCAATATGAGGTCCTGGGCTCAATGCTCAGGAGAGAAAAGGAGAGAAAGAGGAAAGAGGAAGGGAAGAAGGGAAAAGGAGAGGAGAAGAGGGACAAGAAGTGTGATCTTAACATAGTTCAGAGTGCTCACTGTGAAAAATAGTCATCATGGTCCAGTTATATACTGCCTTGCTGAATGGTTTCAATTCCCTTCAGGGAGCAAATCTGAGGGGTTTTTCCTTAGAATACATCACTGAGTAACTGAGAATGCAGAAGAGACTACCCAAGGATACAAATGTAAAAAGAGCCAGTTTTTCCAGTCTCAAGACTGAAAAAAGATACCGTACTGATTCCCTAACTTTGGGCAGCCTGCACTGATCCCTGCTCCATTTTCACCACCGAATTTCCTCAGCCTCTCTGCACAGCCTGTCTGGAATCCACTAACCAGTTCCCCCCAGGGACCAAGATGACAACTGCTGTTTCTGAGTCCTATTTTTTATACCCTTTCTAAACAGGAATATCTGAAATTCAGGTGTACTCAAAAGCCAAGTTCTGAGGTAGTAATCCATTTGCTATTTTATTTATTTATTTAGCGGAACTGGGCATTGAACTCAGGCCCTTGCGCTGCAAGCGCTTATTCTACTGAGCTATCTCCCCGGCCCCTTCTATTTACTGTTTTAAAGCGTAATCACACCTCTCAGCTTGGAACCAGAGTTGCAAAATACTTCCTCCATTCACTCGCTGGAAAGCAGATGACTGAACAATCCACAATGGACTCTTGAGTAGAGTCCTTTAAATACCACTTACCATTTTACTAGACCTTAGAATGTAGTTTAAATCCGCAGTGTAAACAGAATGTCCTTCAGGTAAGATTATTCTCAATCCGTTACCTTACACAGTACTGAGTTTGTCTTTGCAGAGGCACTAATAATTTGTACCCATTCTACTGAGGCGATTATTTTGAAAACGCTGCTCAGAATTAGTCATCATGGGCCAAGCATGGTGGTGTCTGCCTGTAAATCCCTTTGGCGTTAGCCTGGACTCCACTGCAAGCTCTTGCCCGAAGAAATATAAAATGCTAATATAATAATAATAGGACCAAGAAGCTAAGCCTTGGCGGAATCTGTTTGACAAGTAACTACAACGTATTCAACGTGGTTCAATACGGAGTCGCCAAACACTTAACTCACTAGTTGTACAAATATTTGTACAGCCTTAACATACAAATCCTTGAGCTGGAATTATTTTAGAAACGAGAAAACGGGCACTCAGCCTCCCGCCCGGACACACGTCGGTCGGACTTCAGGCGGCACTCCCTCCTGGGCGGCGCCCGGGAAGCGGGATTTCCGCCCAGGGAGACTCCCAGCCCTCTTCCCATTTCTGTGCAACACCTTAGCACCGCCAGCCAGAAGCAAAGGGACTTGATCTTCACCGCTTTAGGCAGAGAAGCGGGCAGCCGCGACCAGCGAAGACCCGGCAGAGGCGCCTCGGCGTCAACAAGCCGCTCCTGAGGGCGGCCCCGCCCGCGCCCGCCCCGGCGCCCGCACTTGCTCTCCCGATCCCGTCCCTGCCCGCCGCGTCCCCGTCCGAGCGAGCGCGAGACCCGCGGGAAGCCGCGTCCCCACCCGGCGCCAACAGAGGGAACTCGCGGTGCCCCCGGCTTCCCTGGGCGAGAGCTGACGCGAGCCTAGGCCCAAACCTCGGCACTCGCCCGCCCCGCACCGGTACTGGGCGCCGCTCCCTCCCGCTCCCCGGAGACCCGCACCTTCTCCTCATGGCAGTCAGCTGGGAGTCGGGACCCCCGAGCTCCTCCACGCGAGTCCGAGCGAAGCCACCACCCGCAAACGCTGACTGCCGGCTCCACGTAGTTCGCTCCACTCAGCCGCGAGCCGTTGGGCCCCGCGGAATTTCAAAACGAGCCTAGAAGGGAGCAGCTCCGCGATTGGCTCTGCGTCCGGGCGCTCGTTGCGAAGCCCCGCCCTAGCCCCGCCCCGTGCGGCACGCCTTCGGTCGGCAAAGAGCTCAATATTCACCGATCGCTTGAGCTAGATTCCCTCAATCTTCCAGATTGTGAGAACCTGCGAAGTGATCTTTAGTGCGCATATTTCCCAGATGTAGGAAACCATACACCAAAAGGAAAAGTTAGGAACCTAGAGGCCTGATAACGCTATAGATAAATTAGCCATTAATCAGGACAAACCTGCTAGGGATTATCTTCATTACACAGAGGAGAAAACTGTCAGACTTGAGTGGCCTGCCCGAGTCACATGATCAGTGAATTTGAGATCACCTGGGCATGTTTTTCAAATGACATGAGTTACATAAAAACTTTAAAATCTGAAATGGACATCATAGTATATTGGTATCCTTCTGTCTGAACATTAGTAATGTCCCTAAACGCACACACAATCACATTTTTCCTAATGATTCACAGTTGTATAATGCCTGCCATATGGTTATTCCATAACTCAATTATTTAGCTACTAATATGTACATGATAGGGCTAGCCAAATAGCTCAGCGGTTAAAACAACTGCAAGCAGGTGCAGAGGCTGGGGGATAGCCCCCTGGGGCACCACGCTGAATGGCAATTGAGACTGGGTGTGGTGCCTGTAATCCCAGCTTTTGGGAGGCTGTAAACAGGCAGATCACTGAGTCGGATCTAGTAGTGAGACCCTGAACACCCTGTAAACCCTTCCCTAAAAGAATAAAAAAAATAAAAAGTACCTCATAATTTTTCAGATAACTGGGATATTTTCATAGGTCTTTGCATCTTGGGGCATAGTAGGGCATGCCTGTAATCCCAGTACTCGGGAGGGTGAGGCAGGAAGATTGCTGTGAGTTCTAGGCCAGCCTAGAATACACAGTGAGTTGAAGGCCAGCCTGAATTGCATAACGACGCCCTGTCTCAAAAAGAAAAGCAAGAGCCTTGGAGATAGCTCAGTAGAATATGTGCTTGCCTGGCAAGTTGAAGGTCCCTGGTACTAGAAAAAAAAAAAAGCAAACAAAATTTTTGCAGGGTCCGGGGAGATGGCTCAGTGGAATAAGCGCTTCCCTGGCAAGCGCAAGGGCCTGAGTTCAATCCCCAGTTCCACCAAAAAAACAAACAAACAAA